TGATTGACTTGTTTTGAATATACTATTTTAAAACAAGTGGATTGAGTACTGTCCATTTATTGTTTGAATTTATCACCAGCAAGTCACAGACATCTACTGTAAAAGAATCCCAGCCGACTCATATATATATAAAATCTTGACACACCCTCTGAATTCATTATCATGTTCTAAATGGAAGGATCAAAAGGAGGTGTAGTGTAGAGACTGAATATCACAACTTACCCTGAGTTGTGCAAATTTGAAATAGTTATAATTTAGCTGTGCATTACACTATTTTGATTTTGGTACAAACATATGTCCATGCTCCATCTCATTTGTTTTTCTCATACTTGAAGGCTTTGTTAGCTCCTGAAGTTCCATCTGTTGACAAGACTGTTTACATTCCAGTTTCAGTCTTGATGTGCAACATTGCTGGGAATTGGAGCCCTGCTTATTCAGTATCTTTTTGCATGGTCTCCACATCATTCTTTGGAATCACTGTTTGTGGATGGGAATGACTAGTTTTGTATTTCAATTACATTGTTAGACACACAAAGGCAAAAAAACAACAACAGATAGTCAAAATGTTGGGTGCAAAAACAGAACTTCAGATGTTCACATTCTAAACCTGTCAAACATTTTAGGTAATAATGGCCACTTCATACAGTAGAACAGTCAAGTTTTTCATTTTTATCTTAACAACAACAAAATCCTGATATATATGTTACAACATATTAAACATTCTTACTCTGCTAATACTTTCTTAATTTCTCAGTTTTCTGTGGTTTAGTAAAGAAACTTTGATATATACATGTTTAAGGTGGTGTTACAGTATTTGTTTAGCTATAATTTTCCATCCTTATTTTTAGCAATTCATATCCCATTGTAGGATGTTGCTATCCATGTCTCCAGAAGCTGTAAAATTAAATTCACCCTGGGTAGGTAGTGATTGGGCAGACTGTGATCTCATAGGTCAGTTACATTCTTCATTTGTCATCATTGGAGATCCGAATGTCTGCTTAGTTACAATGCTAGAAACCGGGTTTTGATATCTGTGATGGGTAGAGCACAGATAGCCTATTGTGTAGCTCTGTGTTTAATTTCATAAAACAAATCATTGAAGATTTAAACTGCACTACATATTTGATTATCTATTCTTGCACTTTGATGCAAAGCTATAATCCCTGCTAAAGCATCCTACTTGGCATTATGGACGGTATTAGGCTCGTCTCTTTCATTTACTGCTTGTATCAGGACCATATTTCCTGCTGCTTCAAGTATTTAGTAAGTTTTTCTTTTACCCTTTCATTCTTTTGGAGTTTTCCTTGGTTATTCACATAAGTTACGTGTCCAAAAACTTTTCTAGGTGTCACTGAGCTATTTCATTTACTTTTTTCACTCACCACCCTTTTGCTTGTAGGTCAGCACTACATTGATCAGCTTTACTGAGGTAGATCTGTTTTTTGGTCAAAGTTTGATGTAATAAAGATGTATAAAAAATTTTGTTTGCAAATACTTTGAATACAGAAAGATATGTTTTTTGTTTTCATGGCAGTGAAGTTGATAAAAACTTGTGCAAACTAATTTTTACTTTTTGTCTCACAGCAACTTTCAGTGATTCAGTGTGGTAGCATAGTTCGGTGTAGATCATGTCGTACATATATCAACCCATATGTATCTTTCGTTGATCAGCGAAAATGGAAATGTAATCTCTGTTTTCGAGTAAATGATTGTGAGTATTGGTTTTAGAGCATAGAAAATTTGTATTTAGTCCAACATTTAATTACACAGTCAATTTTGTTCTCAGCTTAATTATTTTTGCTTTAATTACTTGTGGCTTATCAGGTTTTTTTCAGTAAACTAATATTTTTATCCGAAAACATGGTACAAGTTAACTGATTTTAAATTTTGCATCAGTAAGTAAATTGTTTCTTTATCATTTGGTAAAATGTTTGTACTCAAAGTAAACCATCAATTAAGTAAGCAAGTTTGTAATATTTGCTATAAAGTTGTTTTTGCAATCTTAAAATCTTTTAATTTTTTTATTATTTTTCTGAATAACAATAGTAAAAGAAAAATTGAGAGATGGTTTATAATAGCTTAGAATACACACACACACACACACAGAGAGAGAGAGAGAGAGAGAGAGACACATTCTAAACACATTTTGTGTGTGTAAATGTTACTTTTTTTACATAATTCCAAAATTTTCTGTTGTACTTTTATTTAAATTGTGATTTAATATATATAATAGCTAGATTACAAATGTTTCTTTTCTGCATTGTTTTTAATCTACCAGTATGGGCTAGGTGGGATGCATCAGCTTGTAACCACAAAATTATCCACGATAGTAATTTCACTATAATTTTTATAATGTACGCGTATCGTTACAAAACTTTACAGCTTATTAGTGAACATTACAAGACTTTCATACAGTATCAGATTTTTTTATAAAGTTTTAAGATTTCTTAAGTAATGATTTCATCATGCCTTTTTTCTTTTTGAATGTTGACTATCCAACATGCAAAGTAATTTTGATTTTAAGATTAAAAATACTTTTATGCATCAAGTCATGTTCAAATTTCACATGCAAAAACTTTATAACCTCCAGATAATTGTAAGATGTTTTTTTTAGTAAAAACTATACTTTATCTGTTATTTTCACTATTGTATCTCTGTATGGGTTGAGTCCATTTGACTGATAACCACCATAAAAAAGTTAGGAAATAAATATAAATTATGTTTTTTTGTTCTAGAATGATTACAAATCATAATATGAAAACACAAATGTTTGGTCAAAATAGCTTAAATCTCATAACATCATACATTTATTGTTTTTATTATATTGACCTTTCAGAAGTGCTTGGTTAGCATTACAGAAGTTGCAATGACGAGGTGAATGTGCACTTATGTTACTGAATCCAGTAATATAAAACTGGCCTTTACAAAGTGACCTGTCTTGGCTGTGTTTTAGTGGACTAGTATTCTGTAAAATAGTCACATTCCAGTTATAATACATTATATATGTATATACCTTATTTGTATTTACAAATTAGTTCTTAAACTTATTTTTCTTAAAACCTAGAATAGTAAATAAAGATGTATAGCAAACAATTATCTCTTCTAGTTACAAACTTTGCTGCTTGCTGTAGGTTGCTAAGCCTTATCAAATTTCACATGTGGAGGATGTGAAATGAAATAAGTGTTTTAGGTTTTATATATACATTTTGAAATAACCAAAAATAATTAATTACTATATCAATACCACAGGAATCCACTATAATTTATCAAACTTAGTAGCTGAGCTGTATTTGGTCTAAAAAAATATGAAATTTGAGCTCACTAAAGTCTTACCTTGTTGTTTGGATGCTAGCTTAAAAAGAAAATTTGTTGCCTGAATACTTCAAGTTGGCTGAGAAAACCACTAGGGGTGACATTCTGAGTTTTTGATTGGTTATACACGTGTCATAGACAGAAGTAGGTGTACGTAAGCATTTCCAAAAATGGAAAGAGATGGATGTGGCCACTATGTTTGATTCAGTAAATGTAGTAATATCTCAGCAAATAGAAAAGATAGGAGGTTCTTATTTTAGATTATGGCTTTTCAATATCAATAATTTGAGTTCCTGATTCATAAGAAACTATAGACTTTGTACTTGGACATCACAAACACCTAATTTTAACCAATGCTGCATTCAACATATGTGACACACAAAAATCGATATTTGGAATTTCTTTTTTTTTAATATTTACTTTTAAATTAGGAAATTAACTAATGGGTAATACTAAAAGTTGAATTATAATCTACGATTTGATACCAAACTTATTGATATACATTCATAAAATAATAGTTCAATAAAATTTTTAATGCAGTCACATGACCCGTGACCCATAATGATAGGGTTAAATAATCTGTTGCTAATTTGAAATCAGAGGTTTGGAAAATAGCTTTTCAGGTAAGGCTTTTGTCCTTGACAAATCACTGCTCAGGAGGCCTTTCAGTTTCCAAAGTTGTAAGCTAAGCTGAACATGGTGACACCAAAATTCTATCAGAAATTAAACCTCTGATGTTAAACACTCAGAGGTGGTAAAGCAATGGAGATAATAAGCCAAATATCCATGATCAAAAATCACACGACCTCCAGATGTTTTTCCATGTTTTCTTTTGATTAGTCCCTTACATATGTCTAGCCAGAGATGTGCAAAGATGGAATTTCACATTATTATTTTTTTTTTTTGTCCACCACAAGTTACTGGCAAGTAGGTTCTATTTTCAAACACCTGCTTTACAATTTTTTTGCAAATAGCAGTCTTCTGTTTCTGTTGTTTTCCAACTTTCATATTTAACCTTTAATACCCTTTAAATCTGGAATTAGAGTTATGTTTTACATAATGTTGTTTTCATTTAGTTTTTATGTATACATCCATTTTAAGAATTATATATATAATACTCCTCTAGTTTCTATACATATGTATAATCAAAGTAATTTACACACACACACACACACACACACACACACACATACACACACACAAAAGATGTTTGTTCAAGTACTCTTCAGACTACCAATTGCACTGTGCATATATTGTTTGTGTGTGCACATATATACATTCTTAAATTGATTGCTATATGATCAAAACTCAACCTCCAAGAAGTTCATGAAAAATATAATAGCATAATTATGAAGATTATTTTAAGAGACCGGCACTTGTCTGTAACATGAGGCTACAACTCAGACTTCATTGCTATGTCTTTACACAACTATCTATGTAGTCCAAATTGTGACTCCTGAAAAATTTAAGCATTCATAATACTATTAACTGAAACATGAAAGCACAGATAACTGTATTTAAAATCATTGTGTGTAGAAACAAGAACATGGTGACTTGAAATATTCAAATTCTGTGACACCCTTCCAAGGCTAGACTTTTTTTAAAAAAGTGGTTTTGAGTACTATACTGAATGAAATAAAACAATATTTTCTGCTTTCTTTCCTATTTGTTCAGTTGTTATTATCGTAGAGTTCAAACATTTCACATTTACCTTTCTCATACCATAAGTTACCACCTACAAGGGAATTCGGCCAGTTTAGAACTACGAGTTATAAAGTGACATAAAATAATATCTGTATACATGCTTATACAAAATAAATTATTTTTATATCTTAGTACTTATTCTGATAAAAATAATCAAAAACTGTTTCATTACATTTATCAGGCCTAAAAGGTTACTCACTTTGTCATTCTGAACATTTTAAGACCTTGAAATTAATTTCTTATTAGTACCAGAAGAATTCCTGTATGATCCTGTTTCCAAGTCATATGGTGATCCCTCCAGAAGACCAGAGATTAGAAATGCCACTGTTGAGTTTATTGCACCTTCAGAGTACATGGTAAGTTTGAAATGTTGCATATTTTGGTTGTTAACAACAAGCTCACAGTTAGTTACTTATAAGCTGAATAATGAGTACTTTTTTATTTCATATTGGTTTATTGTTGTTATTAATTTATTGACTCAGAATTAATTTTTTGAATAATGCAGTTTGCAACTAATAATTCTTGCTCATTTGAAAGAGTCGAATCCAGAATTATTTAGTGGTTCTGCATTATTTTATATTTTGAAATATCTGTTTCTAAAGTAGCCATCTCAACTAATCTAAAATTGTTAAATTTTTAAACATTCACCCTAAGAAAACCAATGTCTCTTGAAGGTAAAATTAATACTTTTGATCCATTAATCCATTTGTTATGGGTAGATAAGAGTGCATATATCACAACCTTTTAGAGAGTTACATTCTATATTTAATTAAACTACTATATTATCGATGTATATGAACAAACTTGGCATCAAAACTTAGGTAACAAATCACATTTTGATATTATATAAGTTTTAAGTTCTTAATGTTATTAGAAAATATTTTTAAAAATATTCAATCTCCCCTAGCATGAGAATTGTGACATGTTCTCTATATCTTTCATCTCTAATATAATTATCTCACCCTCTGAAGTATGAAACATAATGTAAATTACACATTATAATATAGACATTACTTGGGCAATACAACATTTTTATAGCCTTCAATCTTATTTGTTTACAGAATCATAAGCTAGAAAAGCAAACCCACTTGTCATGCCCATGCCATCCTGTCACATCCTATCTTTCAGAAATTACCAATAATTTTGACATTTTATGTTATAACATTAATAACCAATAGAAAAACAAAATTTTAATCTATCACATGACATGTCATATTACATTGTTTTCAGTACAGAGTATTGTCTATTTCATCATCAGTTTGAAAGTTTCTTTCAAGGTTTTCAGATATCAAGAAGCTTAAACAATTATTTTAAGGCTTTTGTGTCAAAGTTAGAAACCCAATTAAATTATGACAGTTAATTGGCATTGTTTGCTTTGTGGGTGTTATTTTTCTGTATTTTTAGGTGCCTTATTTAAGTAATTAAAAATTTGGTGTACTAGTGCCATTAGTATAAAAAAAGGGCTTAAATTTTGTTGGTAACCAACAGCACAAAAACAAGAGGGCAAATTTATGTACTACATATTTTGTATTTCATGTATATATATATATTTATTGTCATAAAAGTATCTAAGGTAAACATTAAACTTGTTAGGTTAGATTAGGTAAGATAATGAAAAGTAATAATAATTATAAAAATTATTGAAGACATATGCTTATGAGCTATGTATTCACTGAGTGATTTAAACCCTGTGTGGCAGGATTATTAGATGTACAGAGATCCAAAAGGCAATAAAACAATGAAATTAAGAATAAATAAGTGTATACTGTTATGGGCCTTAAGCTCTTTAGGATAACAAATTTAAGTTCTTGTTACAATCTACAGTCATTCTAGAAAGAAAAAAAAAGGTAATTTAGATTTTGCATTTTTTTTATAGTGGTAACAAGGTCAGTCAAATCAACTGAGGAGTTAGGATAGAAAGAATACAGTTTTACTGAAAGAAAAGTATTTTTAATACTAACATGAAAATCACTTTGTACTGAGCAGTCAACACTGAATCCATATATTCACAGACAAATGTTTAGTAAAAATACTTAATTAAAAAATTGATTATTTTGTTTACAAATAGTTTTTAATGAAGATACACAAAATGTATTAAATTATAGTATGGGAACTGGGGGTGACTTTGACCAACCCCAAATGGAATGTGTCAGTAACAACAATTTTAGTAATGAAAGCATAAGAAAATTTGAAAACATTTATAATTTTTTTTTTTTTTTGTTAGTCTCAAAATGGCACAGTACTGTGGGCTGTTTGTTATGAGGGTTTATTTATGGTGAATTCTGCACAGCTCTATTTTATCAATTTAGTTACTGGCATAAAATAATCACAAAATGTCAAAACTGAAGCATTGACAAAGCTATTTTTTGGTCATGTTTCAGCTCCATTTTCAAAATAATATCCATAAAAAAAGTTTCCACATCTAGACGTTGAAGTTTCATGTTTAGTACTATTGACTCAGTCTTCCCATTTTTTTCTTCCCTTTAGTATCAATGGAAATTCAAATTCAAAGTTATCAGGTCAAGCTTTAAAAAAGATCTTGTCTTTATGCTACTACTTTGTATAGTTGTTGCTGTGTGTGTAGTTAAAAAATAGCAAAGTTCATTTCATGATGACTGTTACATTCCTAAAGATAGATTCTCTTAAATGCATTGAAATACTCATCTGGTAGTTGCACGACTGCATTTCGGTTATAAATAACCCATTGCCAAATAGTTGATGGGTCTTTTAGTTTTATAGAATATACTTTTGCAGATCATTTTTAACTTTTGCATTCATGGCTTGATATAATCTTTTTCTGAGCAATTTATCAATTTCTGATCATTTTCACTCTGGCATATTGCATTATGGCAGAAATTAGTAAGGTTGTGGTTTTTTCTCTATTTTTCACAAAATCTGAATTAAATGGTACAAACCTTTATTTTCTTCATTGAATGTTCATAAAGTCACAAGATTAACCTTAGAATTTTGTAATCAATTTATTTCTTCAGCCATAAGCCTAACTTAACTTTTGTCATGTTGCAATGTCTGCTAATTATACTGAGTGAGCTTATCTTGATGATCAGATTTCTTGCCAAACACATGAGTCGTTGAGGTATTTTGTTTCCTTACACAAATTGTTTTAATATATATTGTTTTATTTTGCTTCATATGTATTCATATGATTTCAGTGAAATATTTTGACATAACATCTAAATAATAAAAATTATTTATCTAGCTAAAATGTTTTATACATATAGACACATTGAGATCAGTTTTAGACCTGATATTTATTAAGGGTTTAAGACGTCTGTTTACACATTGGTAAAAGAATGAGTTTTACCTTACTTCACCTTTTTTTGATATGTTTTTTTCCCTTTTACAGGTTTCATCCCCAAATATTGTGTAGTATTCTAAGCATATATAGTACTTCCTTTATTCTTTAGTTTATTAAGGGGGACATTTCATTTTCACCAAAAAGTTTCAAAATATTCATGCATATGCATTTCTAGCTATGCTGTGTGTAATTTAGTAATAGAGTGTCAGTCATAGAAGTTGGTTAAATTCCTTCCACTCTAGCTACCTATTATTTTGGGTCATTTGTCTTTAGTGTAACATGTGCTTTATCATGAGAGAAGTTGCTGGTAGAACACATTTAGTTAAGGAGGACAGGTCCGAAGTATGTTTTACCTGTTGGAATGACCAACACTGATATGGGTAATTCAGGTTATACTGAGAGGGATAGTATTATAGTTTTGTAGGTAGTGCTGTGCTCTGTCTTGAAAAAAGTCTTCTCTTATGACAAGTAGGTTTTTGAAGTAACAGATTTTCAGAACAAAGTGAAGCACTGTCTCATAGTTAAGTGCATTTATTCACTTTGCTGTGGGTAAAGAATGCATTTAACTGTGTTTCAATCTCCTTCTTGTTTCAAACTTAAAGTTACAGAAATTGTTTGATTCCTGTGAGAAACATTTCCTGAAATTCCTCAAGTTGTTGTTACAGAAGTTATCTCAAAAAAAAAGTTGTCAGAACACCTGAGAATACCATACATCTATCAATCCTGCAAACTTCAGAGTAATTAATCTTTAATATGATAAGCCTAAGTTTTGTTACCAACTTCTGCAATTTATGTTTATTGAATAGTTTTATAGTTTGATAAAATCTAATTGAATGGATAGCAACTGCCCATTGTAGAGGACAAATTTTCGAAAGTCTGCCGCTTTTCGTCTTCAGCTCAGTGCATGTATGGTGTTGTTGGTCTTTATAGTGGATTGTGAAGAGTGTGTTATGAGTGTTGGTTTATCCCCGTTTCTGATTGGTGGAAAGGTTTCCTGTATATTCAACCAACAGTAGCCACAGGTTACTCGCCTCTGATTCGGAATCTCTGTTTATTGAAGGTTCTATTCCGTTAATGTAAAAGGATTCTTTAATTTTTCTTGTCTTCCAAAGTTGTGTGTGTTGATGATTCTAGTTTTTTCCTAGTTTATTTTTTATCCTGTTGATATAATGTGTTCTGCAATGGTTGAATTTTCTGTTTTCATGAATCTTGTACTGTTTTTATGTTCTTTTATTCTTTTTGCGAGTCTTCTTCTCATTTCTCCAATGTTTGTTTCATTGCAGGAATACGGAATTTCATAAATGATGTTTTTGTGTTTCTCATTGGTAGGTTTCTGTTTGTTTTTCACCAGAATGGATCCTAATGTCTTGTAGGATTTCCACTGGATGTTTATGTTGGATTTTTTGGCTATGCATTTGAGTTTTTCACTGAAATTTTGTAGGTTCAGAAGGTAAATACTTGTGTTTTCTTTGTTTTTTCTTTCTGTTGTGGTCTTTTTCAGGGAGTTTCTGATGATGGAGGAGGTGTAACTGTCCTGTTTAAAACACCTTACTATCTTTTCGCATTCTGTTTCAATGGCTGTTATGTCCCAAATGTTTTCTGCTCTCTTGTTTAGGCATTGGATTATACCACTTTTATTGAAGTTGGATGATATGACTTGAAGTGTAGATACCTGTTTGTGTGTGTGTGGGTTTTCTGTATACAGTTGTGGGGATTTTTCTCTCTTGTCTGCTGATGAGTAGGTCAAGAAATGGTAGGCTGTTTTGTTTCTCTATTTCCATGGTGAAGTGGATTCTTTTGTCTATAGAATTAAAATGTTCTAAGAAGGCTGGTAAGTTTTCATGACAGTGGGACCAGATAATATAGGTGTTGTCAACATGATGTCTGTAGAAACTTTGTTTTATGTATGGATGAAAGGGCTCTTTCTTCAAAGTCTTCCATGAAAATGTCTAATAGGATTGGAGAGAGACTAGCCATGGGACCACCGCTGTATATTTTGCCTAAACAATCTATCAAAGAAGAGTTTTATAGTTTGTTTGATCGTATTAATAAATGGCATAAAACTTGGTGAAATCTTTTTAAAATGATAAATGTTGTGTACATTGAAAATTTGATATTGACTTCTAATTTTTTAGTTAGTATTTTAGAACGTTATTGATTTAGTTTTTCTTACACAAAAATCATAAACTTTGTTCTTTTGCAGTTACGGCCACCACAACCAGCAGTATATCTTTATGTTTTAGATGTTTCACATAGTGCTTTACAAACAGGTAAGATAAAGATTTGTGATATAGTAAAACATAACACATTTTGCTACTGTGAACTTCCCAGGTACTTTATTTTGTCTCAACGTAGTAGAACTCGCTTCTCTATTTGAAATGTATCTACTTTGTAAAAGTGATTTTTTTGACAGTCTCTCTGCAATAATTTTTAATGTTTAGATGGAAAGTTAAACCTTTTTAAGATTTGAAATTAAATGTTATAAATAGGTTGTCTTCTTCAAAGCATTTTTTTTTAAAGTGCCACAGCTATAATATTTTGTTGTGTAGGCTAATAAAACATAATTTCATTTTAATATAGAATGTAATTTCTGTTTCTTCACAACACATTTTTAAATTTTGACCAAAGGAGCTGTGAAAGTCTTAAATTTTTCAGTGGACATGTTAACTTGTATGTAGTTTTTTTTACAGTTATTAACATCATATCTATGTGCATCATATAATGATTAAAAATTATTTTTATTGCATTAATGAATCAGAAAATATTTTAAAAACACAAAGTTTAACAAAACAAATTACTTTTTAATGTACGTGAAATTAATGACGTATTAACAACCTGTATTTGTGTATATTTGATCATAAATTATTTCAAGGTGTTGTTTAAACTACCTGCATTTGGTTATGCTTACTTTGGAGACATTACGTGATGGAAAGATTTAGAAATGTAATATGTATACATGATATCATTGTGTTTAGTATGTTTTTTAGTTAATTACAATATAAACTATAATTTTCAGCAAATCAAAGTAAATTTCCCAAGTGGGACATTTCTCAAGGCAGTTCATATATAAATCTATACATTTTGTATGGAGTATGTTTTTGAGGATATATATAAGTTTATACATTTTGTATGGAGTATGTTTTTGAGGATATATATAAGTTTATACATTTTGTATGGAATATGTTTTTGAGGATATTTTAATGATATATAGGATGTGTGTGTGTGACTACTCAGAAAAGCTCAACAAATTCTTGTCCTTAGGTTACTTGACAGTGTTCTGTAAAACTTTATTAGAGGAGCTAGATAACATCCCTGGTGATTCTCGCACGCAAATTGGATTTATTACATTTGACAGTTGCATTCACTTTTATAACATTAGTGAAGGTCTTAATCAACCCTCCATGATGGTGATGTCAGATATTGATGGTAAGGTTGCTTTTTATATAAATTATTTGGTTAATATCTTTGACATGACTACAAATAAAGTTACTGAAATGTTTGAGAAGCAAACACTGAGAAAGTTTGTTTAGTGATGGTGTTTTTAATTTTGGTGAAATATCACTGAAAAAATTCCTTTTGAAGAATGTAAAACATTTCACAACTTACAAGGTTTTAATTTCTCTTTTGATAAAGAACACATTTTTATTAAAAAAGTTTTAAATGAAAACAAACTGTAGGAAGAGAAATGAGTAATATGGATGTAAGCACTAAAGATTTTATATTAATGTCATAACTTTAAATATCCTTTACCTAAATAGTAAACATAAATATTGTAATGTCAGTATTAGTGATGAGTTAATTGGATGTAATTAATTTTTCTATGTATTATCAGGAGTGCTTTATGTGTTTACAACAAGTATCATTTTGAAAAAGTTGTGAAAAATGTAGATTTGGGTGTTGCAAGGATAAGATAAAGCATTTTCAGTTGAAAAATATAGAAATATTTGTCTTTCATTTAAACTTATGTTTTACAAAGCTCTTTTATATCAAAGCATTTTGATATAATTGATAAAGCAATATATTTTGATAAAGCATTTTCAGTTGAAAAATATAGAAATATTTGTCTTTCATTTAAACTTATGTTTTACAAAGCTCTTTTATATAGTGCTATTCTTCTTAACTCTTTCATCACAGGTTTGGTCCATGTAACCGTTTTGTGGTTGTTATAGTTTTCATGGTATAACCTTTAAGTTAGTAAGTGTATGTTAATGAAATCTGGAAGATTATCAGTAAACATTGACATCTTACATATGAAAACATTGTAATTTTTTTTTATTAAGTCTCAAGGTTTGTAAAGCAATGTTTTTCTCATTCCTTTTTTTTTCTTTTCAAATGTTGCCTATCCAACATGCAAAGTAATTTTCATTTTTAGATTAAAAATACTTTTATACATCAGAAAATTTTCAAATTTCACATGTGAAATCTTTATAATGTCTTTATATTTTATCTATTATTTTCAGTAACGAATCTCTGTACATGTTCGGTAAATTTGCCTGATCTCTTTAACCACCATAAAAAATTAGGAAATAAATATAAATTATGCCTCTTTCATTCTAGAATGACAACAAATTATAACACAAACATAAATGTTTAGACTAAATAGTTTAAATCACATAACATTATACATTTATATATATATATATTTATTATTTTCATTATATTGACCTCTTAGCCATGCCATGCCCAGCAATACAGAAGATGCAATGATGCAGCATACGTGCACTTATGTTACTGTATCCAATAATATAAAACTGACCTTTAGTCTTTACAAAGTGACCTGTCTTGGCTGTGTTTTAGTAGACTAGTATTTTGTAAAATACAGTCACATTTCAATTATTATACATTATATATGAGTATAGATTATTGCTATTTTGAAATAACTACTTAAACATATTTTTCATAAAACATAGAACAGTAAATAAAGAAGTAAAGCAAACAATTATCTCTTCTAGTTACAACCCTTGTACTTGGTCGCTGCTTTATGTAGGTTGCTAAGCCTTTAAAAATTTTGCATGTGGTGGATATGAAACAAAATATTTTTTTAGGTTTTATATATACATCAATACCATAGAATTCCACTATAATCTATCAAGCTTATTAACTAAGATATATTTTAGTCTAAAAAAATATGCAATTT